AGTAAAGGCAAAGATAAAGGTAAGTGTGGTTCAAAGTAGGGCTGTTAATCGGTTTGAATGGTGCGGTTTATAGGTGACACCGAACACCAAACCGATCTATTTTTTTGGTTTGGTTCGGTTCGGTTTTTCACTTAATTTTTCCAAAAACCAATTGTGTTCGGTTTAATTCGGTTTGGTTTTTCTCTGGTTTATATCGGTTTTTTTTTGGTTTTTTTATAAAGAAAGCAAGTCTAGAAAAGTATAGAAGAAAGGGGAAAAAGTTCTTTAAGAGGCTACAAAACTTCATGCATGAAAGAAAACTGGATATATTCTTCTGGTGACAGCTCTTACTGTTATTCAGCGGGTTTGTGAACATCTGAAGCTGCAGTGTGCGACCAATATTATTTAACAAGTTCTTTAACAAGGAAAATAATGATCCCTCTGTTTTCATCAGTTTCATCGGTCTGTCATACTCCACCAATTTCCCTGAAAGAAAAAGGAGCAGTCTCTCATAAGATGAAAAACACCAGATTCCCAGTTATTCACTTAGCTATGGAATTGTAGGTTATTTGTTTTTATTTCATGTTAGTTTGTAATCTCATTAGCACACGCATAAGATAATCATCATAGTCTCTCACTGCCAACAAAACTTAGTTCGCCATACAAAACGAAGATGCAAAATCCTTACATAGCAAGAAGAAATAACAAGAAGAAATCACTTCCTAAATAATAACAAGAAGAAATCAAGAAACTTAAATGTATCAGAAAGTAATAACAAGAAGAAATCACTTCCTAAATTAAGTACCCATACAAAACCCAGCATTACTAATTTTTCCAGATGCAAAATCCTTACATAGCAATATGTCAATGTCTCAAAGCAACAGATAACAGACCATAAACAACACGTACTGTCACTCCAAATAAAACTCCTTGATTTTCTACAACTGCAAACGAAGATAAGTTTTTAATCTCAGGCCAACATTCTTCCTCCTTGCTTCTTCATGGTCCAAACTGCACATTTTTATAACCAGCAGAAAATATCAGTTTGCCACCAAATATACAGAAGTTGACTAAACATATCACCACCAAATATACAGAAGTCACTAAACATAACACCACATACCAGCAAGTCAGCAACATCAAGCTTGGAAAGCACTCATGCAGATTTTGGAGGCAACATGCTACCACTCGTAGCATCACTAGCTGAAGCTGAACAAGAAACTGAAGTTATTTTTTCCCATTCTACATGCAAACAAAATGTGAAGAGTTAATTAGCATCATTATATTTCAAACAAATTTAGTAAATCAGTTCATTAGATACGAGTAGAAAACCAAAACATACCTCGCTCAACTTGTTCACACAGCTCCATATCCTCAATGGTTGGAGTTTCATGCGATGCAACATGAGTACTAGTGAGCCAATTTTGGGTACAAATCAAAGCCTCCACCATTCTAGGACTCAATGAACTTCGAAACGGATCAATTACCCGGCCACTTGTGCTGAAGGAAGATTCTGAAGCTATAGTTGAAACTGGAATAGCTAGAAGATCTTTTGCTACTCTAGCCAAAGTTGGATACTTTGCAGTTCCACTCACTCTCCACCAATCTAATATGTCAAATTTTTCATCATCTTCTCCTTCACACCTATCAGCTAGATATTTATCCACATCATTTTGAACAATTCCAGCTTTTCTTGCTTTTCTTCTTTGTTCCTTTTCAGCCAACTTTCTTTCATAAGCAGATGTACATATATTCAAAAAAGAAACATCAGGTTGCAAGCTTTGAGAATCAGAGGCAGCACAAGCACTTCCTAAATCTGTGACTCCTTCATTATCATAACTTCTATACAACTCATACAATAGATCCTTCACTTTCTTTTCATGCTGCTCCACCTTCACGTCAAACTCACCATACAACACTTCATAATAATCAACAAGCTTCTCCAATTTATGACGAGGATCAAGAACAATTGCTACAAACATATACGGATTCACATTCTCCATCTTGCCCCAATATTTACCATACTTGTCTTGCATAGGTTTTATAATACCAAAGAGCACTACATCACTATTTTCTTGCAACAGACCATAAATCTTAAGCAAATCACCAAAAGTAGTATGGATTGTTGGAGAATTTGAGCAACACACATGCAAAGTCACATCATAAAATGGTTTCAGAAAAATAGCAAAGTCTTCTGCTGAAACCCAATCACTTGCCTCAGGTGGCCCATTTTTTAATTCACCTTGAAAATATCTCACATAGTGACCGTCATCCTCTTTCAATCTATCAAATGCTTTTCTGAACTTTATAGCTGACTGTAACATCAAAAAAGTCGAATTCCATCTGGTGGAAACATCCATGATCACAAGCCCTTTACTCTCAATTTTGACATTTTCAATACACTTCTTAAATATGTCCAGCCTTTGAGGGGAAGATCTTACATACCTAACAGCATTACGAATACTTTGGATACAATCATTCATTACATCAAGGCCATCATTCACAATTAAATTTAGAATATGAGCAACACACCTCATATGCAAATTCTCCCCTCACTGCAAAAGTACATTAGGGGTTTCCACCCTTTTAAAGCATCCTTAAGAATTTTCTTTTCAGACTTGTACATACTTAACACATGTTTTGCAATTGTCTGACGACAAGGAATAACCCAATAAGGACAAGCCCTCTTACAGAAATACTTAAACCCCTCTCCCTCAACAAACCTAAAAGGCAGCTCATCCACTACTATCATATGAACACAGCCCTCAGTTATCTCCTGTTGAGAACATGACCAAACAGCTTTTAACTCTCCTTTTTTTTTAAAAATTAATATTTTCTGCCTCCCTTTATTTAACATCTCAACATTGGGGGATATCTCTTGCAGATTTTCACATGACTAAGAAGGGATGAGGTACCATTTGATCTAGGATCAGCTAATATCTCTTTTTTGCAATAGTTACAAGCCCCTTTAACTCTACCATTCACCATTTTTCTAGTAAAGTGAGACCAAACTTCTGACCTTTCATTTTTCTTCATATCTTCCAAAATCGCCTCCTCAGTCCTTGTATCTACGTCATCCTCTAACTCAACAATTTGAGGTGGAGCTACAGCAGATGTTGCTTCAGATGGTGTGGATGACTCACCATAACTTAAAGGGGGCTGCAAAGAACGATGTAATGAATCTGGAGTTAGTAAACAACATAAACTAAAAAAACAACATAAGTCTTTAGTTGCATCTATCTGATCGACCTAAAGAACTTAGAACAAATTAACAAAAGATTGATTTAAGATCGGCCTAAAGAACTTAGAACAAATTAACAAACCTGGGAATTCTCAGATGCAGTATTAAAAACACGCCTTGTTGGGAGCCTTGAGTTCCCACAAGATCTCTTCATCCTGAAAGATCTGGATTCTGGAGACTGGAGTAGAGAGTTGGAGAACTTGGAGTCTTGCGTTCCAATAGAATTTTCTACCATAAATAACCCATATCCACAAATAGATCAGCTACGAAAATAAAAAAATCAAAACTTTATTAATTAAATGAGAATTAAAACAACCTTTTTACCTTTGAGAGCCTGGAGGCTGGAGATCAGAAACCCAAGATTTCACCAGAAGAACCCCAGATTTGGGGGCGTCAGGGCGATGGACGAGACTGAGAAGCGAAGGACCAGTCGGCAGTCACCAGAAGCTCGTTGCCTCGTTGGGTTTGGTGGCGTGAATGAGAGCTCAGAACAGAAGAACCCCAGATTTGGGGGCGTCGGGGCGATGGACGAGACTGAGAGGCGAAGGACCAATCTCACCAGAAGGCAGAAGCTCGTTACTTCGTTGGGTTTGGCGGCGTGAATGAGAGAACTTAGAAGCCCTAGCTCAAGTTAGAGAAAGAAATAAGAATTCCCTGTCCAGAAAATTAGAGGCTGACATTGGGTTTGGGCCTTTTGGGGGCGTGAACGAGACAGACAGACAGAAAGGCCATCCTTTTCTTTGTGGGCTTCATTTTAAGCCCAATTTTTACATAAACTCTTATATATATTAATAATATATATCTATAAATAATATAATTTCCTTACAATATATATAATCGGTTTTTCGGTTCGGTTTCGGTTTCCATACATCCAAAACCAAAACCACACCAAACCTTTCGGTTTTCGGTTATTTTTTGCGGTTCGGTGCGGTTTTTTTCTTTCCTCGGTTTTTTTCGGTTATGGTGCGGTTTTGGTGTGGTTATTTTTCGGTTATCGGTTTTCAAGTTACAGCCCTAGTTCAAAGTGAAAACTATCACATATAAGTTTGATCTTGTGTGATCGCTGGATTTTTAGACATGTGCTGGTTCAAGTCTTTGCGACACCATGCATCTATTTTTTATTCAGTTGGTCTAAAGGGGATTCAAGTCCTTGCGACATCTTCCTTATGCACAACGATTGAAACGACGGCACCGTTACACGATACTAGTTTTAAAAAAATTATGGGGGATTGTTGAATATTTTTTCAAAGCTCACATGGGCTGTTGCAGCAGCCCATGTTTTCTTTATTTTTTTAAAAGTGATGGGCCCCACCGAAGAAAATTTTGGATGTGGGGCCCACATGCATAGTAAAATATATTTTTTTATTAGTGCATAGTATTTTCCCAAACACTATAAATAGACTCCAAATCCTTAAGGAAAATTCATTCTAAAAACAATAATCAATATATACAGATATATATGTTATAGAATAGCTAGTGCTCGTAGGAACAGTGCCTAGACCGAGAAGGTCTTATAGATCGAGGAGATCTTTGCCTGATAGATCGAGGAGATCTTGACAGTATTGGGTAAGTGCACACCAGAGTACTAGACTGCTGTTTCTGGAAGCAATTTGGCCTTGGGATCATTGCACCGGAGTAGGCCAAATAATGCTTTAAGCACAACATTTTACAAACGCACAGCAACTGAGTTAAAAAATTTTAAATTACTGTACTTCAGTTTTCTGTTCATTTTTTGCTGTTATATATTTGTATTATTCCAGATTTAACCATAAACGCCAACAATTCGAACAGTAATATTAAATTACACAAAAAATAATTTGAAATCTCTGATTAAAAAAATTACAAATCATATGCCAAAACACAAATCCATCGTCAACCTAGAAAGATCTCCTATAAAACCCCAAGATTGCAAGCAAGACCAACAAGAAGTAAGCCAAAGAAGCAAACATGGACAATACAATGGATGCGTTCATTTGAGCACAAAATGTGTTCATTGTGTCACAAATCTGCGCCCATAAAAGATTAGAGTTTCCGTCCTCGGCGATGACGCTGAGCCCAGCGGCGGCGCTGTTGGCGGAGAAGAGGAGCACTGTGACGAGGAGGTCCGCGATGGAGAAAGGGAGCTCTAAGTTCTTGGAGTTTGCTCTTTTTAGAAGAGAGATTGCCAGAGAGAATGCAGAGTAGAGGAATGCTAATACATTGATCACTATGAAATATCTGCAATTAGTTTATTGAAGTTAGTCAGAGATCTTTCTTTGAAATTATCAATAATATAATTCCTAAAAAAATAGTATAATTTGGTAAGTTTGAGCCAAAGCCCTTTGTTTGTCATTGTTTACTTAGTGTTGACCAAATTATTTTTCAAATATCTTCCACTTGTATCCGGATCCTCTTCAATTAGGTGGTAATTGACAATATAATTTTCTCAATTCTCATCATTTACATCACTTCCAACGGATGAGATCACTCCATGTTAGGCTTCTATTGTTATCTTAGAAGCCACTTTGGCCTTGAAAACCATTAATAAACTTGGAAACTACTATTTGTAATAGAGGAAATGGTAGATAACATGATATCATCCATTGGAATTGAGATAGATGGCAATAATTGAAAGAATTGGACTCTATCCAAACCGAATTGGAGAGGGTCTGAATCCCTTCCACTTATATGGCTGAACATCTATGGAATTTTTCAAGGTACAATTTCGTAATCGTAATCGTTTATCATTCAATAGACAGATGGTTACGATTCATTATAAGGCTAATTGCAGATAGACCCTCTATAGAATATCTGTTTTGAACTCAATATCCTCTTAGTTTTATTTTTGTAAATAGACCCTTAGAAAAAGAGGAAACATTGTGTTTTACAAGTAGACTCCCAGATGGTGAATAGTCAAAACAATGCACTTGGGGGTTCCGTCTGCAACAATAAAACAAACGGACACTTTGGGGGTCTATCCATAATTAACCCTTCATTTTAAAAAGAAGACTTACACTAAAGCAGATGATTTGCCGGACTTAACCGTGAAATCCACAAAGCCACCTCCGACGCTTAAACTCTTTGTCTGCTTAGCCGTGCCCATTCACTATTGCCGGGCAA